ATTACTGCAGTCTACTAAGAAAATCCTTCTAATGTGCTGATTGGTACTCAAGGAACATTTTAATAGGCAGAGTTGAAAATGGTTGTCCTGCTTAATGAAGTGTGGAATGCCAAACACGGTCTCATTTCTTTCAATTCACTGTACAATTTCACATTTTGGTTTTAAAACTGACCAAAACACAAACGCATTTTTAGAAAACTCATCCGTCTGTTGTTCTTATAAGAGATGAAGACTATTTCATGCACTACTGTCTTGAAAAAAGGCAGCAAACTGGATCAAACCAGAACAGTGAGAGAAGAGAAAGGCCCAGATGCACAACAAGAAGAAGACAAGCACATCAGAGCCTCGAGTAGAGTCTCAGCTGGCAGCTTCATTCAACAGTACACACGAAACACCAGCTTCTGGCATTTAGGCAGAGTTTCAAAGAAAAAGTCACATCTGACACTGGCAAATAAGCAGAAAATGGTAGACGGGCTAGAGAACATAAAAATAACACATGGCAAACTATTATTATGGATGTGTGAATCTAAGTTTGAGATGTTGTGGAAATTGTTCGAACTATTATTATGGATGGGTGATTCTGAGTTTAAGATGTTTTGGATAATTGTTTGATCAGACAGTAATTCAATCACACAAAACTACTATTGCTGCAAGCTGAATTTACTGACAAAGAAAGTTTGAAGAATAGAGTACTTAAAAAAAAAAAAAAAAGATTTGTGATGCAATATACTGTCATTTATGACAAATATAATGGCATACTCAGTAAATAAAAGCAAAGAAAATTATAAAGATTATATTTAAGATTATTATTTTCGAGAAATATAAGGCAAATTTTGATAAATATATAGCAAAACATAAATGTAATTTCAATTTACAAATGAATGTATTTATCAAAAATAAATGTATTTATTTTAAATATTTTTATTTATTTATAACTCATTTTATAATTTATAAATTATATTATAATGTATAATTTAATACTATTTATTTTGCATGAATAAAATATTATATTTTTTTAAATCACATGTAAAGTATATTATTTTTATTATAATTTTTTAAGTATCATATTTTTATTGTTATGTATTATTTGTAATTTTTAAATATCTTTACAAATTACAGTAAATAATCCTTGGTGAATAAAAGTATCGATTTCTTTCAAAAACACACACACAAATAAGGATTATATCAGCTATCAGACATTCTCATCTCTAGATATCAGTATAGATTTTGATATCAGCCAGAAAATCCAATATCAGTCGACCAATAGTATATATTCCCGATAGACTAAGCAAGAACAGTAACAGGCATCCTAATGAGGTCTATCTGCAGATAAAAATCCACCAGATGTTTCTGTTTTGCATCTGGGAATGGGGAATAGGGATTTAACCAAGACACCTATCCCAGGAAAAATGCTTGGTGTGGGATTTTGGCTAAGTCCTGTTTTGGCATGACATGAATCGAGATGTGCACTTGCTTCTGGCAATGAGAGAGAGAGAAAGATATGTTTGGAGAGGCGCTGCAGTTAGTCGGCCATTGGGAGGAGCTACTGTTCCACCCTGAGCTGGCCGACTCATCCTGTCTGTCTCTGAGGAGTAGAGACGGTGGGTAAACAAACCCTGTTCCTTCAGTAGCATTAAAGGGGTCATATGATGCGATTTTAATTTTTCCTTTCTCTTTGGAGTGTTACGATGCAACGCAACTCGTAAAAAGATAGTACAAGTCATTATAATCCATAATTATGTCCCCACTGGATGCAACGAATGCCTCGTTTATAATGGGTTTTCATGTTTTTGAATCATCGCTCCAGCCTGACAGGGCATCATCACATTGTGGTAAGGGGCGTAACATTTCCGTCACACGCTTAAGGTATTCGGCCAATCACAACGCACTGGATAGCTGGCCAATCACAGCACAGCTCGCTTTTTCAGACCGATGAGAATCGACGCGTTTCAGAAAGGCGGGGCATAGAGGAGAAACAATAATGTACAGTATGTGGAAAATAATGTGTTTTTTGAACCTTAAACCGCATAAACACATTTCATTACACCAAATACACAAAATAATGTTCTTGTTAGCAGCATCATATGACCCCTTTAAGGTGTGTGCGTAGATGTTTGTTTGTGAGTGAAAACACATAAACACACATTGTTCACACAAATGCATACAGAGCCATTATGCCCCAAAGGCACTCAAATATGCCCAGAAACACTCATGACAAACATGACCGGCAGCATGTGGACTGACATGGCAGAGGTGAACACCTGCAGTGAAAGTACAGCTGTGTTGTGTGTCTTAAGGGACATGGGGATTCATAAGATCTGTATGGGACTTTTTGTCTACGTTTTCATAGTAAAGTACAGTAGATGCAGGACTGTGCTGTGTGCATGTATGCAAGACTTGTGTACCTCATATGGAGACAGCAAGGGTTTGGAGAAAGCCGTTCCCCAGTCGATGGAGAGGCGAGGACAAGCGATCTGCACCCACCTATAAAGGAAGATGAGCAAAGCGAGAGACCTAGTTAAACGAAATGAATCAGTGAAAATTAAAATGTTTGCAAACCAGTTTACTTTATTGAGATATGTGATTATATCAGAGTGAGAACAAAACATAGGGCTTTTTATTCAAGAGGAAATGACTGGATCGCTAAAAGTTGTCTCAGCAGGGTGTAAAGATACAGACAGAGTGGGTGTGTTAATATAAAGTCTCCATGGGGAATTTTGTGAAAACTAAAAAGAGATGTCCTCACTGTGATTGGTCGAGGACAAGGTTTTCAACAATGACATCCGACAAATAAAAGGACAAGTGTGCATATAATTGTTTTGCTTTGGAATAACGTGCACTGATTAATCAACCACAATAAGGCATTTAAATAAATGAAATTATGATTTTATGTTCACTGGAATCTGCATATTGTAACCCTTAATTAAGGATATGCAAAATTAGATTTTTCACTATAGTCTATATAAACATAAAACATATACATAAAAAAACAAAAAACAAACTAGTTGACCAGTGACCAATCTGTGAATATTTAAAAATGAAATCAATCAATGTTATTTTAGTATTATTTACATACTATTTATAGTAGTTATTAATATTTTGAATCAACTTTTAAATAAATAAATACATTCATATACATAAAAATGTAAATAAATAAATATTTGAATTAGCCTTATTTCCGCATATACAATTTTAATTTAAGTTTTAGTAATTTTATTTACTTTTGTCATTATTATTATTATTATTATCATTTAAAAAAATATTTCTATGTAGTTTGAAGCTTCATTTTTTTAGTTTTAGTATTTATATAATTTTGTTTGCAAGAAAACATTACAAATTTTCATTAATTTCATTCTAATTTTAAAGTTTTTTAAGTTGAAGTTTTTCATCTAATTATTTATATTTTATTCTATTTCAGAAGTTTTTTTTACTGATTAGCAATGATTTTTAGTAGTATTATTTAACAACAAGGTTATTTTGTTGTAGTTAATGAAAAACATACAAAACATTTTCGCTAAACTAAACAAAATAAGATAAATGTTAACAAATAAAATATACAACTTTTTTTTTCATCTAGTTGCCAAGGCAACATTTCTCACTTTCATTTAGATAATCTTCATGAACTAAAATAATTAAAACTGAAATAAAACTGAAAATATATAAATAAAAAATTATTCAAAATATGAATAAAATATAATATAAGTATTTCAAAAAATAACCCTGGTTAACAATAACACTGAATAAAATTGACCTTATACTATTTAAAACGTGTGAAGGAAAAGCAAAATGCACACACACACACACACACACACACACACACTTGAGGAAGCAGAGCACAGCTTGGCTCGCAGGGTGAATGTGAATGTGAATATGAACTGCATTGATGTGCAGTGCTGATGCTCTCTCCTGTAAATATGAGAGTAAATCTGCACTGGCCTAAAGCTTCCCTGCAAAGCATTATTATTTAGACGACGTGGAGTCAAATAAAATAAAGCAAGAGCAGGGAGAGGAGGAGGAAAAAGGAAAGAGGGTTGAGGTGAGAAAGAGGCAGCGATAAGTAAGGTTAGGTGAGCAAAAACAACTGCACTGCAATGCCCTAGTCTCCACGGAGCTACCCTACATATCAGCCAGACTGGGTGGCAGAGAGAGAGAGAATAAGAAAGAGAGAGAGAGAGAGAGAGAGAGAGAGAGAGAGAGAGAAGGAGGGACAGAAAAGAATAACAGTGACATGAGAGGTGAGGGAGGGCTCAGAGAGTCACATGAGGAACAGTATGAGTGATCGTTGGCAGGCAGTGCGAGAGTGTCTAGAGAAACTGCATTTGTCTTTCGAATGTGTGTTATGAATACAGAAGCACTAGAGCTGGAATAGTGGGTATTCAGATGCCTAATGTTAAAGTAAGAGAACATTCACTGGGCTTCGCATACCTGCAGCTAAACTCCACAGTTGGGAAACTGACAAGACAACATAAACGTATTATAAGTGGGCTTTAACAAAGGATGCACTCTTGCATTAAAAATAGCAAGATAAATCTAATATACATATTTCATATGTATTTATATGATATAGTAATTTTATACAGTAATAGATTAAAATATGTAATCTCTCTCTCTCTCTCTACACACACAAACACACACAGGGGCGGTTCTAGGATTTCATCCATAGGGGAGCTGAGCCCTCAGACAGACCATTAGATACAAAGATACAAATTACCTAAATAAACTTTACAGTGCTTGTGAAAACTGTATTATTGTATGAAGTAAATATACACAAATATCCATTAAAGCTACAGAAGTTACTTATTTATGAGCAGCGAGTGATTCTCTATTTTTCTTTTGTTGTTTAACATTATTAACATAAGAAATGCACGGGTCCGTTATATTAATGCACATTCGATATTTTCTTAACTATTTACGTTCACTTAACGCAGGGGTGTCAAACTCAGTTCCTGGAGGGCCGCAGCCCTGCAGAGTTTAGTTCCAACCCTGATCCAACACACATACCATGTAGTTTTCAAATAAGCCTAAATGATTAGATTAGCTGGATCAGATGTGTTTAATTACGGTTATATCTAAACTGTGCAGGGCTGTGGCCCTCCAGGAACTGAGTTTGACACCCCTGACTTAACGTAACCGACTGTTTTTACATCAAAACTCTTCCAGACAGTCATTCTGACATAATTTTGTGCCAATTTGGTATTTGCGTGCTGTCTGAGAGACGGCTGGCTTGTGTGCGTGCTTCATGTGTGCGCACGCACAGAGACGACCTATGACAGAGCGCAAGCACAAGCATTGAGATCTCTTTTGCGCTGTCTTGCGCTTGAATAGCTTAAAATCACTTAAATGTTTAAACAGACAAGCCTTAAAACACATAAGAATGATAAACTTTCTTGAGGAAGCAGCATTGGCCCGATTGTCCTAGATAGTTTTAGGGGGGCTGAGACAACAGATTGGGGGGCTGAAGCCCACCTAAAAAGGGTCAAGAACTGCCCCTGCACACACACACCATATATATATATGATATATACAAATACATATGTAAGATTGTGTGTGTGTGTGTACTGGTACTCCCTATGTTATGGGGACCAAATGTCCCCACAAGGATAGTAATACCAGTAAATTTGGACCTTTTTGGTCCCCACGAGGAAACAAGTTTATAAATCATACAGAATGAAGTTCTTTGAAAATCTAAAAATGCAGTTTTGTGTGAGGGGTAGGGTTAGGGTAAGAGGATGGAAAAAAGAGTTTATACAGTATAAAAACCATTAATCTGTGTTTGTGTGTGTGTGTTCGTGTATACAATTTATAACAAGGAAACACAAAGAAAGTAAGTATGTGAAACATACAAAAAAGAAAATGAGGAAAATAGGGATGATTTTTTTTAAAAATCAGTTTTGTTGTTAGTAATTGGTGTGTTGTTTTGTTGCTGGCTTTAAGACTTGAAATTTATCAGCATGGACTTGCAGTTGAGGCATTGAAAAAGGTTGTGACAAAATGACAATGACTGATTCATGTGCATAGACAAACAATTAAACATAACAAAACACCATCAAGCACAGGAGGAATCAAGAAAGAGCCATGAGTTAACTATCACTAAGGTATACGTGTCATTGAAGGGATGTAACTATGCACCACGAGTCGGTTGAAAATCGATACAAATATGTGACGATTCAAATCGGTAGATATTAAACGTTTTGGTTAAAAAAAAAAAAATGTGAGAAAATCTTATGAAATCAGTATTGTGAATCATATCGCATCTTGAGTTGAGTGAATCGTTACATCCCTATTTCGTTGACATTTTATCAGATGTAAACAGGGCTTTTGTTATCTAAGGGTTTATAGAGGTTGAAGATGTTGCAAATTTTATCTTGATTGTCTGGCAGGTCTGACTGTAGCTTTACTTGGAATCCTTATAACTGGGTTAAGAATGTCTTAGTGAGTAATTGTAATCCATAATGCAAATCATAGTGTTGCTGGTTTGAATCCCTGTCAGTTGATCCAAAGATGTTTGCAAATGCAACTGGTCCTCATGACCCCTCTAATCTCAGCCTTGAGCACGACTCTTAATCCTTGGTTGCTCCAGGGGGTTGCATCATGTTACAGTATGCCTGTTGCCAAATGATCCACACACCCCTAAGGCAAGTGAATGAATGACAGCACATTAATGTAACTCTTTCCCTGCATCAAGAAAAGAAGAAAAAAAAAATTAAACAATGGACACATTTGTTTTAATTGGTCACAGACTCATGCAACAGCTGCCTTATTTGACTACTGTGTGTGGGAATTTGGTTAGTTTCACAGTGCCAGACGTTTGATCACCATATTCTGGCTCACTCTGGCCAAAAACCACCCAAAGGAAGGGGCTGCCTGATGGATATGTGAAAGACCAACCACAGCCTTTGACATGACGTTTGGCAGTGCACACAGATCCAAGCATAACAGGGCCATCTGACACTAGACACTAGTCTTAACTGTGTGCATTTATGTGGGAACACTGAGTTTGGCTGGTTAGCATGACCCTGTAACGCCTGCTGGTAGATGCTGTAACTACACCATCTGGACGCAAAAAGCAACTTTTTTTCATTGACAGCGATTCAAAACAGCCATGGAATCAGACAGAACACAATGAACTTTGTAGTTCATCATTATACCTGGATAGGTAAAGTTTGTCAGGACAAACTTTGATGTTATCTTGACAAAGTCTTTTCTGAAAGTTCATAATTTTAAAAGCTTAAAGTTTTATAGCCTGTACACTGAGTCAGACAAATAAACAAAGACAAATAGAACGATAGAACGATAGATAGATAGATGATAAACAAACAGAACTAAAGATAGATCGAATGGTAGATAGATATACAGAGCAAAAACGATAAATGGAATGATATAACAACAGATAGACAGACAGACAGATATATTGATATACAGATAGTAAGTTTTGAAGTTGTTTTGGGTGGTTGCTAGGTGGGTTGCTATGCTAGGGAGTGTTA